TCTGTTGCGCCTTTTTTTTTCGAGACTTGGTGTCATTCATTATCCAGTTCACAATGTTTATAGATTTCAAAACTTGATGACTGATTTGAGAAATTTCTTTCACATTAATTTCAATTTGACAACTTCATTTAACAGTCGCTTTTTTTTAAAACGTTATTCAAATTTAATACAGAGATACTGAGAAAGAATAGTAAACTAATTTAGCTATATCATCGATTAAAATCGTCGATACTTTTATGATAAATTATGTTATTCAAATTGCATTTTATTCTAATCCAAACTAATAATAATACACAAACATCGCGATAACAAAAATAAACGTGCTTTGTATTTCGTAAATTATAATTGGCTTTTCTTAATTATTCATAATTTATGCTTACATATTAGGCTTAATAGTTTAAATTATTGTTAAATCATTTTCAAATTTTCCAATTTTGCATTATAATTACCTAAATTCAGGTAAATCGTTGTCATATTGAACACTAGTTTCGTGCAAAACATTGAGATCGTAGTCAACAACTACAGCTTTCAGCTAAAATAATAATAGAAGCATCGTTAATAATCATGATTATGCTTACGCATTTGTATTTCTTATGCAATAAAAATGATTATGCATTAAAAGTGAATAATATATTGAAGAATATTTTAATTAAACAAATTTTTTTTACAATACAAATTACATAATAAGAATATTCCCATTCGTTATTTTTCCTAAAAAGAATTTTCATAATATTCATATTAATTTCCATTTTATTCCGTGGGTGAAAAATATAATGAGCCAATTATATTGCTCTGCTTACATTAAAATATTAATAAATATTAATATTATAAAAGTTTGATTCGTTTCGCTTAAAAAATATGTGAAAAAAAAAAATTTCTTAAGTAGAATAAACGTTTTTCGAAATTGAGCAACTAAATAAATAATATTTCAGCCGTATAATCTCACAAAATATTACGTGTATTTTTGTGTTTACGATGTGCTATCGCTGAGTCGTGATAACCCAATGACCTCGAAATGTTTTTTTATTAAAAATTTATAATTTACTTGATACTTTATTTCTACGTGTATGTATATATACATAAACTTCAATGAATGCAGAGGAATTAAATAATGTGCTAATGATGGGTTAGAGATGTACGTAAAACAAATAATATTAAGTGATTTATCCGATTAATTCATTCGTACTACAACTCAGCTTTTAATGCGCGTGCGCGCCGTTTTGAAACGTTCGAATACCTGTCACTGCACTTGTTTGAAACAATGGAATATCAACCAACCAGATTGTACACAATGTTTTCATTACAAGAACACCGTGCGACAGATGCATCAAACGTTACCACTTACTTGCCCCATTAGGCGGGAATGTTTATGAATTTTAATGAAATACGGAAATAAAGAATTTCAAAGGTGAACTCACCTGTTGTGTGCTAAAATCGAATCCAAGGAATGTCGAGGTTTTAGATTCACCCATCTCGCGGTGAGCTTGACACGCGAGACGCGCGCGTCTCAATGGAACGGAACGGAACCGAACTGCCCCCTTGATTTTCTCGCCCCCCCCCTCTATCACTCGCTCTCTCTCTCTCTCGCTCTCTCTCTCTCTCGCTCTCTCTCTCTCTCGCTCTCTCTCTCTCTCGCTCTCTCTCTCTCTCGCTCTCTCTCTCTCTCGCTCTCTCTCTCTCTCGCTCTCTCTCTCTCTCGCTCTCTCTCTCTCTCGCTCTCTCTCTCTCTCTCTCGCTCCTGCCACAGCAACTTGATCCAGTTTTTTTTGTTTCTACTCACTCACTCGACATTGACAATAAACTCATCTGCAATATTTTGAAAGACTTTTCAATCGCGTCGGATGTGAATTTTAAGTACTACGTCTGCTCATCGCCGCCCTTCAAAGCCCTTTCCTCCACACTCGGAGAATGATTTAGAAAGTATCTCGAATTATATTCATAATACCACGATTTTACCGAGGCGTACTTTTTAAACCTTCGTCTTAAGATCGTCAAATACATCTGTGCTGATCTCTACTACATACGACGATGATAGACACTCTACGAAACAACAAAGTTATATTAATTCGTATCGCTTGCAGCGGTTGTTGGTGTCGTTGAAGCGAATTATATATCGCGCCGGCGACAACGACCTTATCAGCTAATTTCAAAAAAAAAACAAAGATGAAAAAAAGGTAAAAACCGTTCGATAATATCATCACTTGACAGGACCTTTAACAACGCAACGCGCGCTTTATAATTATCAATTCCGTCGGATCGCCTCTCAAATGACACGAACAACACAGAAGAGTCAAAACTAATCACCGAGGGCAGCTCGATCCCCAAAGCCTACGAGCTCGCAACTCGCTTTACGAATCGGCGCCTCCTTGCAACGCCAAAGCACGAAGTAAAATTGGAAGGATAGCGTACACCTCGCAACTTGCGACTGCCACGGCGTGAGACTGTTACGCGCCGCTTCACACAATCACTCCGGTACTTTCGCTCCTTCTTCCTCGCGTGACGCTCGCCCGCGCACGCACACGCGCACTCGTCGTTTCCTTGGACCCTCGTGTGGATAACCTGTGGATAACCGCGGCAGGGCCGGTACCTTGATCCAAACCAAGATTGCTACGGGGAAGGTCAAAGTGACGGCGCTGGAGGTATCGCGGCTACGCGAACTGAGATGCTCGATTTCGTTTGTGGATGTTACGCATGACGATTTCACAGCTCTCAAGGCGACTCATATTTTTCCTTCTACGGGCGGATTCGTATCGTTGGCCCGAGAGTATGGTAAGCGACATTGGCAGATGATCCATTAAGGATCACCGGCTGATCCCTGAAGCAAAAATATCTTCTTTTATTACCAATATGATAAATTTATCGAGGCTGGTGATATTGATTGGTGACTTTGTGAATCACATAATATACGAATGTATTCTGGATAATAGAGTGGAATTTTATTGACCTATCCAATTAAATATATCTAATGCTCATTAGATTAAACAATACACATTAAGGAACAAAATTATTACTGCACTTATGATCTTTCGATTTAATCCTGATGAATTTTCTTTGCTAATACGTTCATTTCTACGCGCCTTTCTCATCACCGTTACAATGGACAATATATTTGCCAGATTGTTTGCAGAACTTTGTGAAACGAATGCGAAATGCAATGTAAAACATTGAATTATCCCTTAAATTTATGGAAAATCAATTCATAATTCAATGCTTCTGGATTCTCATTGATAATAAATTATTTTTAAGTTTTCTATTAACGATATTATTTCAGACTTCCTTTGATTTAACGTGTCTCCCTAAATTATTATTAATCGCTCGTTTAATATAATATTCTAGCGTTTTACGTTAATATTTCATTGAGGCACAAGATACATTTAGTAAAGTAAAAATATGGTTAAAAAAATTTTCTTATATTTTTATTTATTATTATTATTATTTTTTTTTTTTTTTTTTTTTTTTTTTTTATACAAACACTCGAATCTTATTACTGTATACTAAAGAATATAAAAAAATTGATAAGATAATAATTGAATATTTTTATGTATTCTAAGATTGTTTCCCACTCCAACGAAAACGTTAAATAAATCATCCGATGCTTAAAAGATACGTAGCATCTGAAATTAATTATATATATATATATATGTATATAATAAAATAACCATTACAAATGTAAAAGCACTTTTTCAATTAATATGTCAGGCCTATGTAATAACGTATTTTAGTATAAAATATATTTTATAAAAACATATTCCCTTACAAATTTTTCAGATAAATCAATTAAAAGCTTATGAAGCATGAAATTTTTACTTCATCTATCTGAACATTATTTAAATTATTATCTGTATGATACGATTTATATTTTACAAGTTTATTTAACTTTACTTCTTTTTTTCTTTTTTTTTTTTTTCTTTTTTATTTGTAAAGAAAAAATAACATTTTATTTTTGAATTCACATTATTATATGTTATAGATCATATGTACACACTAAAGGTATTATAAATACAAATTAATAAAATAATAATATTTCCATTTCACTACTCGATATAGATGCATAACTACTGTAACATAAAACTTTATTGATTGACTTTATTGATTGAAGTAAAGATACTTCGTTATATAAGAATATAATCATTCGTATTCAAGAACTTGAATTGCAATCTAATGATAGAAATGGCAAAATGCATGAAAATAAAGTGCGAAAATTATACATTGTTTAAGATAATTCTGAATTCAATGAATTACTCACCTATCTTCATAAAAAATAAAAACAAGCCTTTAAATAAAATATACAGTTGCGATTAATTTGTTAAAATAATTTTGTTAAAATTACATATCCTCGGATTAATCTCTTTAATAGTATACGCGTGTGATTATTCAACAGGAATGCGACATCTTGCGGATCAACCGAATTTTCGTCCTACAATGAAATCATAACTCTAACAACGGATTATGAGAACCGACCGCAAAGTAACCAAATAAATTTTCAAAGCTTGAACAATATTAGAAATGATGAATACAGAAGATATACGGACTCGCCACCTCCCACACTTTTCCTCGATGAAGATGCAAACGTACAAAATCAACGCTTCAATTGGATATTCTCCTGCTGCAATAACGAGAATCCAAGATTTGACGTAAGAACATTCTAACTTTTCATTTAAGTCGAAAATGAACTAACTCTGACTAGTAAAAAGTCCATTTCTTCTTTCAAAATACATATGAAACTTTTTCTTTTGTTTTTTTTTTTTCATCTTCTTCTTCAAATAATACAATTATCACATTTCTCATATAAAAAGAGAGAGAGAGAGAGAGAGAGGTAAAACTTTGAAGTCTTCAACCATGTACTATCAAAATTAACTCCTTATTTTTAAAATCATGCATTTCTTTCGCGCTTAGCCATGCATTAAAAGAAAAGAAAAACCCCTCATAAAAATTACCAAATGCAGGTGAACAGGCGAGCGCCTCCCTCCTACTCAACCCTATTCCCGTTTAATGGCGACAACAATCTCCTTCGCAATATTAATGACAACCTCGACAATAACGATGACGGCATTACCATCTACAATGGACGTATGCCAGTTCTCATTAACAACTGCTCGTCTTTCATTGCCCGTACTCCGCCTCCCAGTTACGCCCAGGATCAGGGCATCTGTGTCGCCCAGTCCGTCGAGCACATCGTGTCCAATACCGGTGAGTGAGCTAATAGCGGGGCGGGGAGATCGTCCCTTGCTGCCAACAAGATGATCAAACGTCATCTTTTCATTTTACTAATAAAGATATGAGATATAAGAAAACGTTATTTATTTAATATGCTCGTTCGTGCAGATTTGCTTTGCGTACGTAGGGGCATTTGAACAAAAAAAATAAATAAATAAATAAATAAAATAAAATAAAATAATATAATAAAAATAAAAGATATCTATGTTTGAGAACCGAGCATCTTAGTTCGATAATAAAGTCTAATGCTTCAGTTTACCAAAATAATTCGAATAATGTCTTTATTATAAGCTCAAGTCGCCTGTTATTTCATTTTCGGCATACTTTCGTTCGATTATATCATCACTATTTACGAAATGGTTTCCTTTCTAATATATATATATATATATATATATATATATATATAGACCCAAGTAACACAAAAAAATATAATGCATTTAGTTTATTTAGAGTAACTTTCTATTACATTGTAAAGGAAAAATGAAAAAATGTGAAAGTTATTTAGATCGATCGTTATGAAGATAATTTGACGATCTAATTTCTAAAGCATTTACATTGACGAGAGGCCAAGTCGTTCTCTTAAATTTCTTATAGTCAAGACTTACCTACGAACTTATTTTAGGCAGTGATAGGATAATTTGGAGCCCAAGATCGACAACCGCTATTTGTCCCCGATGCGCAACTCTGGTTATCACTGTCGTGGAGATACAACAAACAACTACAACGCACATTATGGCCGTTGCTCTCTTTCTCCTGGGGTAAGTTTACAAATTGGAAAAGAAGTTATCTTAATCGTTAAATTATACGTGCTGGCCCGAGTACTTGCTCGCAAACATTATAATAGTGTGATATTCCCATTTTTAAATAAAGCTCTTATGATAATACCTATTTCTCTTTCTGAACGAGTATCAAATAATTTGAATTGACGCTCTAGGTGCTGGCCTTGCTGCGTCCTCCCTTATTGCATCGACTCTTGCAAGATTTCTCATCATTACTGTCCCTTCTGCCGAACTTATCTCGGGACGTACGCACCGTAATAAGAAAAAATAATTGTAAACAATGAAGATTCACGATAAAATCAAGCCCAATAGTGACAAAATTTTCAACCAATCTCCCACATTTACAAGCTTAATATTCACATGCCTTTACTATAGAATGTAATTAATGATTAATAGATGTATCACTCCGGATTCATAATCATATGTACACGATGATAACTATGCTTGTACGAAATTGACTAACCGTTGTAATAAATATTTATTATTCTATTTTAATTTTATATATTATTACACATAAAGCTGCGAGTATATAGATGCGCTCATTTATTGATTTAATTGTATAGAGTGCTTTTTGATTAAAACGAAAACCGAATATGAAAGTCGGTAATGGTATTGTAATATGCTGACTTAGCGTCCACGAGGTAGGAGATGGGTGACGGTGAGGGTGATGGTGACGGTGAGGGTGATGGTGATGGTGACGAGCGTTATGGAATACTTTTAACGATTTAACTGCGCTAAAAGAGCAAAATTTGTCTCGTGCCGAAAGTAAAACAAACCCGCCTGCCTTTATCATTACATTAAACCCATTGAATTGAAGAAAAACCATTTGAAGAGAATGCGATTTTCCTAATGCGCATGCGATCTGAGGATACACGTCACATTGTATATCTTAGCGTCAACATAACCTTAAAGTTACGTTGGTTTTGCCGATTGGAGCTCACGTGGTCGAAAAAAGTTTATCGCTTTCGTTAGCAGTTGAAATAGCAAATACGATTTATAATAATGGGGCTGGACAATAAGCAGAATAATAATGTATTCGCACGGCCTCAAAGACCAAAAATTAAAAAGAAAAGATCGAGAACAATATCGGAAGCGTCGGTAATATCCGACATATCCTTAGCAAGGGATTCTGAAAATGAAAGTATCGATAATCCAGTAAAATCAAAGAAAAAACGAATAGGCGCCTACAATGCTAACGAAGAATCAAGGTATTATATTATTGGTATATAGAATGTATTTTATAATAGAATGTGTAATGAAAATCTTTCAACGCAGGTTAGAGAAATTAGTTTTTGGTGATCCCACTGATGTAATTAAAAATTTGGAAAGTGACAATGAGGAGGTGCAGAGGATTATTCAGCATAATGTTAAAGATAAAGCTAGTAACTATTCGAGTGAAAGCAGTGACACCGATGAGAACGATTCGGTTATATTGATGAAATCTGACAACGATTCTATAATTACGGTAGACTCAAAAATTTCAGTCGCGCGTCCTGCATGGCAGGACGAGGACGACGAAGTTCTAACGTAAGCTTTATCATGCGTTTATTATTATTTACAATTGTTTCAAAATTATTACTGTACAGACGTATACTCTTGAAATATTTCAAAGTTAATACAAAATTGTCACAATTGTTTTAGAGTTAAAGAGGCTTTGATCAGTCAAAATCGCCGACTACCCAATGGTCGACCGGAAGTCAAGTATAACGAATTGTTACAAAATAAATTTACCCATATTGTTGGGACGCCAAAATGGGCGAAATTAGATAGAGAAATAGACGAAGATTCGGAGGATTCTGACAATGAGCTTTTAAAAGTACGTACACAAAATGTGGACGAAACATGGAATATAAATTGTAAATATATTAAAGCACTTACTAACGATATAAATTTTCTTAACTTTTAATAGCATAGTAATCACTTGATTCCAAATAAAAGTAAATCTTTAGCGAAAGGAACTATCGATTTAAAAGTTCTAGCTCATGTAAATAAACAGACGCATACGGAAGGTCCATTCGTTAATTCTGTACAATTTCACAAACTGTCGACGGTAGCATTAGTCGCAGGCTCGTCTGGAGTACTCTCGTTGTTCGAGGTTCGTAAAACATAAGTCGAGAATTTTATAATAAATCATAACGAATTTATCTAATCGTAATTTTGAACGATTATAATAGATTGATGGACGAGAAAACAATAAATTACATACTATGAAATTTGAAAGATTTCCAATACATACGGCAAGGTTTTTGCAAGAAGGATCATCGATACTCGTTGGTTCAGGGAAACACGCGTACTGCCATTCTTACGATCTGATGACCGGAAAGACATTTAAAATACCTTTACCACATGGCATTACAAATATGAAGGTTCTTTTCTAAAATTTTATTTTCTTGCCGTGTAGTTCGATGTCTTGTTTTTTTACTTATTCCAAGTGTCTTAGAATTTCGAGGTATCACCCGATGGTAAACTCATAGCTATTTCTGGAAGGTTCGGAGAAGTATATCTACTATCCAGTATTACAAAGGAGCTGATAGGAATGATACAAATGAATAAAAAATGTCAAGCTTTCGTTTTTACACCAGACAGTACAAAAATCATCACGCACGGGGGTAATTTGCAGCTACAATTTTATCTATATACTGTTAAACTTCTGTATAAGTCTTTAAACAATTAACAGTCTAAAATAACAAACGTTTCTGACAATGCACATAAATTGCGATTTGTTTTATTAACAAACATTTATTTCTAACTTAAAATTAACCTTTGATCTACAATGCATTGTATTTCATATTAATATATTTATAAGAAAATTTAGTACATTTAACAACAGCTTTAGTAAACGTAAGTGAATAAAACAGTTTCTTACGCACACCTACGAACATCATTATAAATATAAGAAATATTAACTATCGTTTACATTTATTTACATGGATTCAATTGGGTTAAACAGAAAAACAGCGCGATTACAAAATTTATCACCAATATCTTATTCTTTCGTAAAATACAAAGGCCCTCTTCTTCACCTCCTCACCCCTGTTTCTCAATTCAGACAGCAGCGAGTTATATACCTGGGATATTGGTTCGCGATCGTGCTTGAACCGAGCCTTCGACGATGGCTGCCTCTCAGGTTCTTCGATAGCGATGTCGCCGAATGGCCAATTCGTCGCAACGGGGAGCAAACAGGGCGCCGTCAATCTCTACGATGCCAACTCCATTATAAATGAAAGGGCGCCAATGCCAGTGAAGACGGTGCTGAATCTCGTCACATCCATCACGAAGCTTAAATTTAACTCGAGCACCGAGATACTCGCCATAGCTTCCGAGAAGAAGGAGACCGCCTTCAAAATGTTACATTTACCATCGTTTCACGTATTTTCCAACTTCCCGACCTTCAACACGACAATGTTCAATCCAGTGGACATGGATTTCTCGCCTGCGAGCGGCTACCTCAGCATCTCCAATAACAAGGGCTTCGCTTATCTATATAGATTGAAGCATTATGGAAATTATTAGATTAGTGTATTACCCTTATATATCGCACTTTGCAAATAATTCAATAAGTCAATCGATCGATCGATTGCACTGTCCATCCCTTGTCTCATTAGATCTCGACATTTTTCCTACGAATCATTAATATTAATAAATCTGTTAACATTGAATTGTTATATTGATATTTAATTTGAAATTTTCATCTTAAATAAGCTATTATTTTAAACGATTATATATATATATATATATAAAACATGCATGTGTATATGTATGGACTTTACATATGAAAATGAATATTCCTAGATGAGCGCTATTTTTCTAATTAAGCGTATTAACAGATTTTTTTTTTGTTTAAATTGCGCATTAAAATCAAAAAGTGGAATTAATTGTAAGGAATCATTAGTAAATTCGTCATTTCTTATAACGAAAGTAAAGATAAATAACTACAAAAAATATCTAGCATGCGTTTTAAGCGTAAAGCAATATGGATAAACAGTTAAAGCTCAAAACTCGTC